CTGCTCTAAAACACAAAGGGAATTAAGTATGCACTTTGGGAGCTGAGTTAAGCCACTCATTCCAAGGGGTCAAGACCTTCACTGGGAAATGACTGGGCCAAGTTTGCAAAAAATTAATGAAAGAGAGGGTGAAATTCTTCAATGGATTTTGACAGGTACAGGCTCAGATGTCCTATCTTTCAGGATGTAAAAGCCAAGGTGTAAACAAAGTTGAATCATACCTATGATATACAGACATCTGCATTAAATGGAAGACCCGAGAGGCTGGTTTAGCAAGGTAGATGCAATACACTTACTAGGGATGCTCTACGAGACCGTCGACTCATTGGCTGATCAAATGGTGGGCTGTTAATCTGCAGCTTTTCAAGATAGCCATCGGGTATCCTGATGTCAGCAGGCAGGGACAAGCGTTTGTTCAAATCCTGAATGTTGTTACAAAGAGAAGGGTCAAGTATAATTCAGTATTTCTTAAAACATCTTTTAACACCTGTAGTGTTACTGTTCTTTTTACAGTGTTACTATTTAAAAAGGAAATATTTGTATGAATGGAAAATAAGTAATGAAATATTAAAATGTAATTAATTACATTGTGGACATTTGTATTGAGTTTACTTGAATACTTATACATACTGAGAACAGCAGAAACTGAGAATTCAGAGGCTTGTAAATACATTTCTTTTCATACAGTAAACATATTAAAATAACAGGATATCTCCACAATTCAAAACATATCATCCTTGTTTTCTCTGACTCCTAAAAGTTTCACCTTCCATTTTTCTAGTCTTACAAAACAGAATCACTACGTTATTCGAGCCAAACTACTACAAGTGTTAATACATTTTTTATTTCAGACTTTTTATTATAGGATCGTTAGAAAACCAAACTGCCATTATATAAATGTATTTTTGCCTACAGATTCTGTTTTTCACCAGTAAATTTTTCAGCAACAACATGTGTAATTTCTAAGACAACAGGGAAAGAAAATCACTTCACCTTTCAAACACAAAGAAAAGACTATTCGGGGTGGCTGCACATTCCCATTGATTTTTTATTTTTAGTTTGGCTTTAATCTCAAACATGCCAGAAAATGAAATACCAAATATTCTCTTAAAGCAGCCAGTCAGCACTACAGAGATACAAGGAAAAAAATGGGAAGCAATTTTCAGAACAGCAGGAACTGTTTTTCAGCAAAGGCAGTTTATCCAATTAAAGAAAATCATACCTAGCATCAAACTATATAATCCATCCTCATGGATTCTACCCTGAAGTTAAGAGGACATCTCTGGAAACACCACTATTTCCACACTTTTCTCCATCAGAAGAGAAAGACTCCAGATTTCTGCCTGTGGATCTCAGATTTAATCAACGCTGACCTGAGGGCATTAAGACCTTCTCCATGTTACCCTACTCTACCTTACCTATCACCTCCAGCTTTGAATTCTGGGCATCCTGAGCTAACCTAAATGCTGGCAGCTACATCCCCATTCGGTTCCCCTAGGCTTGGCCATGTGTTCCTACTGGTGTGTTTGCAGCAGCTTTGAACGATTTCAGCATGCTAAATCATCAAGAAACTATCTCAGGCGAAGTGCATAGCTTCCTGCCAGCTTTGTGCTCTGAACAGGTTCAGTGTAAGGTCAGGCAAGCTCACAGCCTGAACACAGGGCAAGAGAGGCAGCAGGGCAAGCCCGGAAAGCCAGCAGCTACACTGGCTTAGGCTGCCAAAGAACAGGATCATCAGACTTTTCAGGACTTGAGATCTCGGTGGACAACTTGTTAATCTTTCAGTGTCGATGATGTATTTGAACCATGCATATGCATGATCCATACACGTACCTGGAGCAACAGCTGAGCAAAAAATATCAGTTAAAATTATAGGTTAAAAAAATGAATGCAATTTGGCAATTAGCTGAATTTCAGGTAGGACTGAACAGCTAATACACATTCTGCAGATGATTGATCTACATATGCTATTCATGACAGCTACTGCAAACAGGCAGAAATTTTTGGAGAGATGCCAACAAAGCTTTAACTTCTGGCAGCTGACCCTCCTCCTCCATTTTTCTTTTTGCTCCTCACACCTCCTCGGGTACAAAGCACAATGCCTGTTAGCCTCTACTTTGCTGCCTAACATCAGTTTCTTTGCGTAACTGGAAAAAATCAGCGTCTGTATTTCTTATTTTGTGTAGAATTATTAAATTGTCTTTAAACAAAAGTAGTACTGTTGTCATAACGGCAGCTTTGACTAACATTTTAGAGTTCAATTAAAGAAAACCAAAGGATGAATCAGTTTTGACAGCTTGCAATTTCTTTAGTAACTTTCAACTTTGGTACTTCAAATTTTTCAAAACATCGGCAATTTTAAAACTGCTTGTGTGGTTTCCGGTAGAGTGTAGGAGCTAAACAGTTATACCAGGAGCTAGCAGTAATCCCTACCACAAAACAGTATTTTCCACTAAAGAATTTACCTTCTTTTTGACAGGCTCTGCTATAATGCCATTATTATAATAGGCAACTCAAATTAAGAGAAGTTAGAGCCATCTGGAAAGAGAAATGGCTCTCCCCTAACTGAAGAGGGCTTCAGATTACTAACAATAAACAAACAGATTCACCCTATAATTTATTGCATTCTTCAGAAAATTCAGGTAGCTCATCAAAACAGATGAGCACAAAGGAAAGAGGGCCATGATGCCTTAAAAAAAAAAAGCATCTTTGTCACTTCACTGCATTGGGACACCACAGAACTGCTGACGGAGGGCAGGAAAAGGACCAGCATCAATCCCTACTCCACCTTCCTACTGTAATCCCATATCAATGGTGGGACAATATCTGATTTTTTTTTCCCCCAGCTGCTCAAGAACATAAACCAAAGCAGAAATTTGACAAATTCTAAGCCAGCAGAAGAGAGCATTGGGCTGAGTTTTTCAACAGAACTTCCTGAGCACGGTAGATACCACCATCTTCTTATGTACCCTGTGGCAAAACAGGTTTCTCCTACTCCTATCTATTAACTCTATGGCATAGAAGCCTACTGTAGAGCTCTCTTCCTACTGTCCCATAGTCCTTGTTTAACACTATGTATTTTACAGAGTCTGCTTATAGGTATACTGAGATCATGGACCACAACTCAAGGGCCTCATGAAATACCAAGTGGATTGGACCCCAGTGCTCTCCATCTGTATGCTCTCTCCTCCCACAGCACTCATCCTTGTGGCATCCAAAGTGGTGCTTCACACCTAGCTCCACAGCCTTCAAAAAGCATTTCCAAGCATATGAAGTTGATGGGTTTGTGCAGGAAGAAGGAAGGACCAGCAGCCTTTAAACTGTGATGGCAATTGGAAAACTATGTCATTAACTGTGCACAGGCCTGCCATCAATGAACACTTACCTTTTCAAATGGGGAGGATGGGAAACAGAAGCCTTTTATGCTATCAGTATTTGAAAATTATGTATAACATTACATATATAAAGTCACACATATAAAGTCTTCTTTGTATTATCATTATCCTTTACCTAACTACCTAAAATAGTCAAAATTAAAGAAAATTGTTTAGACTGCAAACCCAAATACCTCAAAGACAGAAATTATATTGCTTTGTTTGCCTGTATCACCTTAATTCCCCCCAGTTTTTGCAATAATTGAAGCAATCACCTCTTGGGAAAAAAAAAGCAATCATAATTTAATGTTATACAGTAACACGAAAGGGGATTAATTACATGTGCATGAGACAAGTAAGCACGCTGTCTCCTAGTGGCTAAACAGAAGAACTAGAAACTATCATTACATGAGTCTGATACAGTTGAAAAAGCCAGTTAATGTAACTGAGATTATGTTAAGAAGAAAAGCAAGAGCCCTTTCCACACACCAACTGATGTTGAGCCTTGAGTGTTCAGACCGGGCAGTCTGCTGAGGCTTAGGCAACCTGTTCAGCTCATGGCAACAAGAGACTTAATTATTGCCCGGCAAAATCCAGCTGAGCACTTACTCCCTGCTCACATGGGATGCAGAGAAGAGGGAAGGATGATGAGGAGACGTGGGTCAGTTTAATAAGGAAAGCAAAAGCTGTGCACCCAAAGCAGAGTGAAAAAGAAACTGATTCATTGCTTCCCATTGGCAGGCATGTGTCCAGCAGCTTCCCAGAAAGCTGGGCCTCAGCACGCCTGGCGGTAGCCTGGGAAGACAAACACCATAGCCACAAATGTCTCCCCTTTCTCCTCCTTCACTACAGCTTTTCTTGCGGAGCACCACGTCAGATGGTGCAGATGAGCCCTCTGGCCAGCTCAGGTCAGCTGTCAAGCCTGGGGGTGGTAACACATTTCCCCCTGGTGCTGAACAGCCGTTATGGACAGGATGTCCAAGGCTGAGCGGCGGCCTAAGCGTACGAAGCCCGGAGTGGTGTTAGACACGACTGCCACCTCTGCTCCCGTATGCTGCCACAGCAGCCATCCCACTGCAATCCCGCTATTGCTCCTCCAGTAACAGCAAAACCTGCTCTGCTGCACCCCACGGCTTCCTGCGATTTTGGCATGAGGCAGGCTGCAGCGCAGGCAACAGCAGGAAACAGTGATTTTTAAGAATTTCTAATTCTCTTAAACCTCGGCAGAATTCCAGGAAAACAATGAAAAAGATACTTCCTGGACAGAGGACTTTGTCCACACGTATTTCAATGACCAACTGAATCTAATGAAGTGTTAGCATATCTCAGAAAATAATAAAAACCCTTCAAGCAAGGAAAGCAACTAAAACCAAGAAACCTATAATGGAAATTATTAGCAGGCTGTTAAAAATGTGGGCTGTTACGACATCCTGCTATAATTCTGTTTAAAGAAGTAATAAGAAAGCATGTAATATTAATGGCAGGACCGATTTATTTTCCCCAGGCTCTTTAATTTTTGATAGTTAAGATTTTGAGCTTGCCAACAACTACAGCGTTAAATGTCCATTTTTACCACTACTTAGTTTTTCATCCCTTCATGAATCTTTCAAATTTTTATTTAATTTTTTAAAGGCAGTAAGATAGAGTAACTCCCTCTCTCACCTTGTGTATCCTTTTTTAAACGTTACAGGTGTGTAAATGGTGTACACAGGCCTTCAACTATGCAGAGGGAATCTGGGCACATTCCTTTGAGACTCTTAACAATGGTTTACTGGAATGCAAACCGTTAGCTTTCAGGGACCAAGAACTATTCAGGTAAAACAATCTACCTTTCAGAAAACTAAAAGATGGTATTTTCTTGATGTCACTCCCAATTTATTTTTCTAAATGATGTCTAATTTATGAAGTTCTTGTAAATTCATAACATTTTCTAGCTTGATACTTTTCTGGTTACCTTTAGGGTCAACTTGCAAAAAAATAACCATGTTCAGCAGACACCACAAATGTTCAAATGCCTACAGTTAACTGTATGTTGCTTAATGAGCTAA